AATTTATATGAAGAAATGTTAGTTCATCCACACTTATGGAGCATAGCTTGTTATTTATAAGTTGAGTAATATTGACAAAAGAAAAAATTGCTTTACAATGACCCATATTGAACCAGAATGAAACAATTCTAAATATATACAAAATATAGTTGAATTTTAGAAAAACCAAGCAAAATACATTCAAATATTTTTTATTTTTGTTTCTATTTTTAAAAAAAATTCATCGAACTGTTTAAACGAATACTTTTGGATGATAGCCAGTATCGTCAGCAACATAGGAAACCTTAACAGTCTTGCCTTCAGGTGAAATGTATTCGTATTCGCCACTCACAAACCAGAGATCCTTATCCTTCAAGATACCTTCCTGCACAGCCTTGATGTGATTATCGAATTCATAAGCATATTTGAAGCTATCTGGGTTAACTTCTGCGTCATTCTTCAAGACATTAGCATCCTCATTAGCAAAAGCTAAGGCGCAGAGGCAGGCAAGCACAATCTGGAAATTATTATGAAAACTAAAATTTGGTTCTAAAACTAGAGAGTAGAACTTTAGATCTTACGATGAATTTCATTTTATCTGTTTTTTATTGAAAGCAAATGCAAACTGATAGTGAATCGATTTTGATCATGCACTATTTATATAAAAATTAACAATTGAAAATTAGTTAAAGACTACAAATTCTAGTTTCTAATGTATGAGACATGATTAATAAAAAAAGTTTGACACAATAAAACGAATCGAAATGTATTCCATGCAGACTATACAAATTTTTATGGAAATGACTGCATCGTAAATATGATATGAAATACCGATGAAAACATTCTAAATGTCATTAATGTGTCATTATATTGTATTGAAAAACTGGATTTTTTTAATATTATTTAGACTTTTAAAAATAAATTTACCTAACACGGGTATCGATAATACAAATATTCTTCGTATTATATACTATGGCGCCTATACAATGGGTATTGCCAATGAATTGCACAAAGTAAGCATTTTATTGTTTTATATATATTTTACTAAATAAATTATTTTTTTTATATAAAATACATAATTATATTAAGAAAGATATACAACAAAGATTTTTTACGATCACCATTAAATATCTAATCTGCATATTTCTGATACATAAAATACTTAATAAACTTAATATATAGTTAAGTGTATATTACTCTATGTTAATAAATTCAATTAAGTATTGTATAATCTTATTCTTAGTCTATTTAGCGCCTAATTAATTCATACTAAATATATATAAACTAGATTTATTTGCACTTGCATCGATTTTATAATCAAAATTTCCAATAGTATAATTATTTACAACAGAAAGTGGTATTGTTTTCTAGTCAATAAAGAAGTATTTAAAGCAAAATTCGTCGTAAAGAAATTAAGTAAAAATCTGTAAGAAATTTTTATATCCTTAGATATAAAGATATAAATGTGATTCTATTTATTAATCTTTTTGAGATCCTTTTCAATACCATCTAACCATATTTTTTAGAATTTAATCTCGCTTTTGCATCAGAAGTTAATCATTATATTTTATCTATCCTAATTTGGTGTGCAGACCTCCAGTCACAAAATGAGCTCCATACATTGGAACCTCGTCACCACCATGGGCCCATAATCATTTCTGTAGCTGCAAACCTATGCTTTCATTGTGTTCACTGCAGTGTATTGCTCACTGCTAAAACTTACATTCAAAAACTCAAGTCAACATAGCGAACTCACACATCAACAACCTAAGTGTGCCAACATCTTCATTGCATGAATTCTATCCTCCCGCAGTCATGCAAATAGATCGGCCGCAGCTCCACGCATAAGGCAGTACCTCCCGTAACACTGTCAAAACCCGGAAAACAACTAACTACTGGAAATATACATGATAGTATAACAAAACATACTCTATTAACTAACCCCATAAAATAATTATTTATATTCATTCCTATTAACTAATCTCTACATCATAACTATGTATATAATTTTATCTGCATCTGTCTATGCTTTTGTCTACTATGATAATAACCTAACAATATCAGTAGATATTTGAATAATTACTAAATGTCCAGTCATTTGTAAGTTTTCACTGACACTTTTTTACCTAGTAACCAACATAGGTTCATCTTCTCCATCTTCACGCTTCTGATATTTATTTTTCAACCGTCTTTTTATAACCAGGTTCCAAGTTAAAACTTGCCTAGAAGTGAATTTGCTTGGTTTTTGTTGGTTTCCTGATACGTAAATGGAATCCAATTATAATTGTTCTGAGTGATAGGTTTGCATTGGAAATGTGACTAAACATCTTCCGTGTTTATATAAAGTTTAAATAACTCTACATATTTTATATTATATGTACTTTATATTTGCTTTCATTTATATATCATCTTAGCTTGCTTTTGTACTATTTAAGTTTAGATAATTGTTAAGCTAAAGTGGTATTTCCTTAAGCATTGCCTACAAATGAGTAAGTCTCTACATAATTAAAATAATAAAGGAAGCTTATAAAACAAATATAGTAAGAAAAATATGAATTTAAATAAAACAAAATCATTTTATTTAAAATAATAGTTAAGTTAAACCAAGGTACATTGTGCTCATCTAAACTATGACATAAAAACATGTCAAACTATTCCGCAATTTATTCCTTTGAGGGATGAGCTGCGATCCATTCCAAAGAGCGGAGGATGGCTGCTGGAATTGGTGGTGGAGTGGGCAACAATGGGTTGGCAGCATCAACATGATAACCATTTTCATCAGCGGTATAAGCCAAGGAAACTTGTTCGCCTTCAGGTGAGGTATATGAGTATTGACCATTGACGACCCAGGTATCTTCTCCTTTCAAGTTGCCTTGTTGTTCAGCTTTGATGCTGTTGTCGAATTCATAAGCATATTTGAAGTTATCAACATTGACTTCAGCATCACTACGGATGACATTGACGTCATTACCGGCGAAGGCTACGGCCAAAAGGCAAGCGAATACAACCTAGAAGATTCAAAATATATGAATCTAGTAGAAATCAACTGATAGAGCATATGATTTTCTAATAAAGATACTTACGAAGAATTTCATTTTTATTTTTTGTTTTTGTGCAGTAAGCTTCAAAGTTTAACTGATGACATTTTTCGGTGTTAATGGGCCTTTTATATTGAAAATTAGAAAATTTTAATTAATTTAAATTTATCAATATAACATATATTTTAATCACATATGCTTCGGAGTATAAAATTAAAAACCGGTCAGAATCCAGAAATTTTTGAAAATTGATTTAAAAAGATTTGTCTCAATATTGAATTAACATAAGAATATGCATGAAATGCCGATATTTAAAAATTACTAAACCGGCTCTGAAATTTACGACATCGATTTGCCTTTGGCAATTTGACGTCATATGGAAAGAATCGTTAATACTTAAAGCAGTTCTTTATCTAGGAAAGTCGAGCGCTGTATTTTTTCATTAATTTTATTTCCTACAGGAATATTTATTAATAAAAATATTGATAACGTCTATGTTTGCTAAGTAACCTTGACCTACCCTGAGGGTCTTAATCCACTTCTGCATAAATAGTTGACTCGATTAGCGGCACGAGACATGTGAGTTGTGGTATTTTGTTTTAGTTTAAACGCCTTTTATGCAAATTTATTTTAAATTCAATTTTAATGCGTTTGTGATGCCCTTAAGCATTTCAGACAAGACAAATGCAAACAAAGTTGTCAGATTTATCAAACATTTAAAAGCGATCATTAAAATTTTGATTAAGTCGAAGCCAACAAATAAATACCCTACGTAATCGCTCTGATTTTTGATATTATTTATATGAAATGCCAAACTAGGGGAGCTGAGGATTATTGTACCAATAAGTTTCTAAAGTACATATCATAGTACCTTTAAGAGAACTGAGTTACATTTACATATGTTAACAGTTTTTAATAATTTTAGAAAATAAACTTACCTTTTACTCCAAAAGTACTCGGATTTTGTAAATAAAACACACAAATTTAAATTTTATTCCAAATTTATTTTATCTCCTTCAAAATATGCTCCTTCTGAAGCGATACACATATGCCAACGCTTAACCCAATGTTCCATACACTTTTCGTAGGCCCGTGAAAGTATGGATTTTAGTTCCTTCAGCGAGTTCTCTTTTACTAATTCAATCGACTCAAAACGCTTACCACGAAGGGGCAATTTGAGTTTCGGGAACAGGAAAAAGTCGCACGGCTCCAGATCTGACAAATATGGTGCCTGAGCGATGACAGTGGTGCCGTGTTTGGTCAAAAAATCGCGTACAACAAGAATTTTCCATACTAAAAATCGTTAAATGCACTTGAGGTAGTCTCACATTAACATCTGCTGTAAACAAACTAATTGACAGATGGTGCTCAAATTTGTAGAATATGTCAAGAAAGGGTGTACCAATATAACAAAAAAAAAAAATTTGAAAAAGTTCTATTACTTAAGGAGTAGTTAACAAACTTTTTGAGCAGAAGGTATATAATCAATTTTAATAATCTATATAGAAAAAGGTTTATATCATGACTTGATACTTTTGAGTTCAATTTTGTCGATAAGAAAAAGATTTTTATTTTGGTTTATTTTACTGATTTATGTTTTTATTTTATAAGTTATTCTAATATTATAAAAAACAAACCAGGATACGTATCATTTTGAAAGTAATATCAGTTAATGCTTTTTATAACATAAATAATATAAAATATTATTTTTAATAATATAAATCCATATGCTTAAGTTTGCCACATTCATTGAAGCCGGGAAAAATTCGAATTGAAAAGTTCCATACGCATAGGTAAAAAGATAGTATCTTTAACGCCGAGATTAAAACAATTTCTAACTGATTCAAAATAATAAGTTAATAGCTTACCATTATAATTAGAGAAGATAAGAATAAGAGCATAAATTATAAAACTCTATATAAAATCTTCTAACACAAAGTAGTATTTGGTAGACATCAAATGTATAACAAACGAGGGCGGTTTGAAAGTCAGTGAACCTGTTGAAAAAACAAAGTTTTTCGACAATAAGTAAAAATATATATTTTATAAATATTTTATTTTTCTACATAATCACCTTTTAGCTCGATACATTTAGTCCAGCGTATTTCAAATTTTCTTAATCCCTCCAAGTAATAGGTTTTCTCAAAGCTCTCAAAATACGCATTTCGTTGGCAAATGAATTTCCTTCAGAAATCGGAATATTAAGCCAAAGATTACTGGTGAACACCAAAATAGTCTAATCCTTTAAAATTAATTGAAAAAGATTTTGGGAATAATAGATAATATGTGTCTACTAAATATTAACAAAGTAAATAATTTATTTAATATTACATAAGTTTTATCTATTCCCACAGCAATATAAAATAAAATTATATTATATTATTATCAATTTCCCTTACATATTTCACTTACGTGGAAATTGCAGTTTGTTGCTTAAGTCTTTTGTCCCAACGATTCTAAAGGCGTGCATTGAACTCTGGATATTGACGTACATAATACATCATAATATTATGTATTGTGGTACAGAATCTTTCGGTTAAGTTATGTATTTCTTACAAAATAATTTCACAAACATATTGATTTTAATTTACTATATCAAATAATATGAATATTAGTTGAATATGTATATTTTTTAAACCGTTTTAAATACAGTCTAAGACACACTATACAAAGAAATTTTCGTATTCACCACACGTACTTAATATTAACAATAATCTACCGCAATGCATGTGAACAATAAAAACAAAAGTTAAATTAATTTAGCATGCCAATGTTCTCATAAATTACATATATATGACAATTATATCCAGAATAAAAATTATAAACAAATTTTATTGTTTATTTGCCGCTTTTAATTTTAATACGTTTCTTCGTTAGGTAACAGACATTTTGTCGGCTTTTCACTGACGAAATTCACCACAAGATAACATCTGCATGTATCTCGATAGGTTTTATTTTCGCTTTTACAGTAAACTTTATGTTCGGTTGGGATGGACTAGCATCTCCAACTTCATCACATATCTCACGCGCCATCGGCAATGTCAACCAGCCAAGCAGCGAAACTATTCCGAGTTAATTTGTTATTCCACACCAAGAGTAGGCGAAACAGTTTTATTGCAAAATGATTTCAACATTCAAAGTTGATTGACATTTGCAACACAGAAGAGAAGAGAATCTGCTAAGAAAATAATAAAAAAACTGAGGTATGATTATTTCGTTTGCAGAGCTATCAGATGTTTTGAAGTCATAAATATTTTGTAATTAAATAGAAGTTGTAGATACAATTATTTACAAAATAACAAACAGCAATTTTGTTGTTTTTTTTTTTAATTTAATTTTTTTTTTTCAATATTTATAAGTAACACCTAAAAATTGTTTTTTTTTGTTCTGTACTTATGAACTGAAATTTATTCTGATTATACATATTAAATTATTAGATTCTTGCTTAGAATTGCATGAATTAATTTAATACATAAAGAACAAATTATAATAATTTTAATTAAAATGCAAATAAACACATATTTCATATATTATGAAAAAATATTAATTTATATTCTTGGAAACGATGTCAGGTAAAGGATTGGTCAAAGTCACATCATGAAAAATGAAGAAGAAAACAGGTA